ACAATAACTACAATACATTGAAATCTGCAAAGCACATTTACTACAGTTCCAGTCCTTTTGTTCATAAAAAATAAGGCAAAATCATGAAATAAAAATAAAATAAAATTATAAATATATATTTAATTTAGAAAATTTTATAAATTAATTGTAATGATTTTTTTAAATTTTCTGCCAAAGATATCCTTTTTTAAATTGATTTTTAGAGAGAGAGGAAGAGAGAGAAAGAGATTGATTGGTTGCCTCCCATACTCACCTTTTGGGCTATGGGACAATGTTCTAATTAACTGAGCCATCCAGCCAAGGATAATTGTAATGATTTTTTAAAAGTCACTCAATTTCCTCCCTGTAAAGAGTAGTCTACAAAGTTCTACACAGTGACACAAAGAAAAGAAAGATAGATGGGTAGGAAAGGACAGGACAGTGGATATTCTAAGTTTTATCGGTGGGATAGTGAAAAAAATAGAAATGGGAGTTACTAAATATTATGTAGCAGATGTCAAAACAAAAAAAAATGAACATAGTAAACTGGAAATGACAAAGCTGTAGTTAATGACTAAAGGCTGGTTGAAAATTTTGGATTTTATGGAGAGGCAACAGAGAGTCACTGCAGATTCTTGATTGTGAGAGTAAAAGACAAAAGCAGTGTCTGAGAAAGATAATTTAACAGCTGTCTGTAGGATGAGTTGGAAGGGAAAGACTTTAGAGGCAGAATAAACAGCTACAAAGCTGCTGAAATACAGAAGCATGTATTACAGTTACAAACATGATGAAATAAAGAAGCAAGAAGTACATAAAACGTGAAGTAATACTTAGACAACAATAAAAACTATGGAAAAAATAACATGGTAACAAGAGAGGCATTCCTTATATTTATTTTTTATAATACATTTTAAATTCTTTTTTTAAGTTTTAGGGGTTTTTTGGTGGTTTTGTAAATTTATTATTATTGATTTTAGAGAGGAAGGGAGAGGGAGAGAGAGATAGAAACATCAATGAGAGGAAAAACATCAACCCATCAATCAGCTGCCTCCCGCACGTCCCCTACTGGAATGGAGCCTGCATCCAGGCATGTGCCCTGACTGGGAATCGAACCACTGACCTCCGTGCATGGGTCGATACTCAACTACTGAGCCACATCGACCAGGCATATTTATTAAAGTAATATTAACGATTTTCACAACATCCCAACATTATATTCATCATGTAGATATATACTTTTAATTTAATAAGGTATTAAATGATCAGTGTGAATAATTACACCTACCTCTATAGGAATGCCCTAAGAATAAAAAGAAATTTTTTAAATTTTCTAATTATAAATACTACATAAATATTAACTGTTATAAATTCTTAAGGAGGGAGGAGATAGCTAAGATATAACAGAAATGCTCCAGCCATAAAGGCAAAAGACCTGGATTCAAATTATGTTTTCATTATTTAATGTTACCTTTAATGGAACTTAGTTAAGTCATTTAATCACTCTAAGTAATCATTTTTAATATGTAAAATAGGAAAAAATACAATCTCTCAAAAAGGCCTCCAAGAATAAATGAAATAATTCATTATAAAATCTCTAACACAGTGCTGAATTACGGTGGATAATGAATGTTTGGTACAGGGTGGGTAAAAGAGGAGAAAAAAACAGGAGTCCCTTTTGGCTGATCTCATTAGAGAAAAAGCCAAAAGTATTTTTAAAGAACCATAACAGCCATGCCCTTCTCCATTAATAAGAAAAAACACACAAAAATTGCTGAAATACCTTATTAATGCTCTACCTTAGAAAATGCCCTCTTTGGTATACCATCTAATCCATATCAGCATAAAAAGCAATCATTAAAAGCTGTATTAACAATGTAATTTTAAAAACAACAATATAGGCAATTAGTAATTTTTTAATTTATAAAAAAAATTTACCAGAATTCACATTTATAATTCTAATATTTATTACTTGAGAAAGAATTTAAAACACCAGACCAAAAATAAAAAAGTGCACTGGAGGGAACTTAAATAGTAGGAAGGTAGGGCATGAGTAAAGTTAAAGTTAACTTGTCTTAGGCAAGACTCTTATCTACTTCTATCTAATAGAAAGAAATGAATTTAAAATTCCCTGGTAAGATCATCCCACCCACAGATACTTAAAGTAGGAATTGGGAAATCTATCCTATATAATAAAAGAGAAACATGTAAATTGACCATCGCTCCACGATGCCCACCAGCCAATCAGGAGTGAGTATGCAAATTAACCTGACAAAGATGGTGGGTTAATTTGCATACACAGGCGCTGGGAGGAGAGCAGAGTGGGAGAGCCGGCAGCTTGGGGGGACATGGCTCCCTCGGTCGCTGCACCCCCCCCCCAAGCCACTGGGCGGAGAGCAGAGCGGGAGAGCCAGCAGAGAGTGGAGCGGCTTGGGGAACTTGGCTCCCCAAGCCACCAGACGGAGAGCAGAGAGGGAGAGCTGGCAGCTTGGAAGACTTGGCAGAGTGGGAGGCCGTGGGATGGAGACAGAGCAGGAAGGGAAAACCAAGAGCTCAGGGAGCACCAGGAATTCTGGGAATAGTAGGTCTGGTGGCAGCCCCAGGACCGGAAGCAGAAGCCCAGAGCGCGGGGAGCACCAGGAATGCTGGGAATGATAGTTCTGGTGGCAGACGGATCTCCTAGACAGTAGAGCAAAATGAACCTGGAGCAAGTTACTGTTGCGGTGGGGGATGGAGGGAAAGCAAAGGTAAGAGACATAAGTAAAATCAGAGTGTCTAGGAAAAATTAAAGGGAAAATATCCTAAAACTTCCAGGAAATCTCCACCAATGAAGCAAAGAAAAAAACAAGCCTCTATTATTCTGTAAGCAACAAACCAAACTGAGTTAGGGTCTCAGACAATTCGCTCATATGATTGCAAAGACAGACAGAAACTCCCAGATGGGAGAGGGCTCCCCTGAGGGCTCCCAGATTGGAGAGGGTGCAGGTCGGGCTGAGGGATCCCCATGTCCCCCACTGCAAGAATGTCGTGCACTGGGCCTCTAGTCTACACTAATAAAAGACAAACATGCAAATTGACCATACCTTCACTACTCCTTAAGCCACGCCTACCAGCCAATCAGAGCAACTATATGCAAATTAACCCAACCAAGAAGGCGGCTGGCAGGAGCATGCAGGAGGCTTGGTTGTCCCAATGATGGAGGAAGCCAAGCTTCCTGCCTGCCGCCTGGCTCTGAGCTCCACTCAAAGCAACAAAGTTTCAATTATAGAAGGTAAATAAACCCCAGATACCTGCTTTCAGCCAGCCGTGGCCACGGAGCTGGAGCAAGCGGGAGTGGGTTGCCCCTGGCGATGGAGGACGCCAAGCTTCCCTCCTGCCCGCCCTGGCTGACTCTGAGCTCCTCTCAAGGCTACAAAGTTTCAATTATAGAAGGTAAATAAATTCCAGAATAAAAAAAAAAATAAAAAAAGGAGAGGCTGGGAGCTTCTGTTGCCGGGGGGCGGGGGGGAGGCTTGGCCAGCCTGAAAACGGCCCTCAGCCCCTCACCCAGACTGGCCAGGCACCCCAGTAGGGACCCTCCACCTTAAAGGGGGTGTGGCCAGCCTGAAAACAGCCATCAGCCCCTCACCCAGGCTGGCCAGGCACTCAGCGGGACCCCCACCCTGATCCGGGACACCCTTCAGGGCAAACCAGCTGGCCCCCACCCGTGTACCAGGCCTCTATCCTATATAATAAAAGGGTAATATGCAAACTGACCCTAACAGCAGAACGACTGGGAATGACTGGTCACTATGACACACATTGACCACCGGGGGGCAGACGCTCAATGCAGGAGCTGCCCCTGGCGGTCAGTGTGCTCCCACAGGGGGAGCTCTGCTCAGCCACAAGCCAGGCTGCTCAGCCACAAGCCAGCCTCTCCCGCCTCCTCAGCAGCGCTAAGGATGTCCGACTGCAGCTTAGGCCTGCTCCCCACTGGCAAGTGGACATTCCCTGAGGGCTCCCAGGCTGCCAGAGGGATGTCTGACTGCCAGCTTGGTCCCGATCCCCCAGGGAGCGGGCCTAAGCCAGCAGGTGGACATCCTCCGAGGGGTCCCAGACTGCAAGAGGGCATAGGCTGGACTGAGGGACCCCCCCGAGTGCACAAAGTTTTGTGCACCGTGCCTCTAGTATATATATAAAACCCTAATATGCAAATAGACTGAACGGAAGAACAACTGAACAACCGGTTGCTATGATGTGCACTGACCACCAGGGGGCACACGCAGAACATGGCAGGCATCAGCAGCAGGTGGCAGAGTGCAAAAAAGGGAATAAGGAACTGCTAACAATGCCATATAGTTTTTCTTGCCCCACCAACCCCCATGGAGCATTAACAAGGGCACTTCATCTATGCTCTGACAATTTCACATCCTTCCAAGGGCTCTAAATTAAGAGCTAGAGACTAAGAAGCTGGGACAGCGAAGGTTGGATTTTGGCAGCAGGCAGCAGTACCAACATTAAGTTTCCAAAGGCAATGATAGTAGCTATGCAGTACCTAAGTCTAGACTTCAGCAATTCACAGCTGCATTGTTGTCACTGGACTGGTTTTATGTCATTGTTTTTAGAAATGTCTTCTCTGCTACCTAGTCTTCCTTGTTTCTGACTATTTACAGCTACAGCCTTCCCATCAATTTGGGAAGCATACTAATCAATATGCTTTCCATAAATTCCTTTTCTACTTCAACCAGTCAGAATTGTCTTCTGTTGTCTGCAATCAAAACCCCACACTGAGGCATTTAATGATTAAATAAATTTTACTTTATCTAAATTTTTACATTAGTATTGCTTGATGTTTTATATAATTTTCCATTATGGTCTTAAGTAAGTTATACATGGTGGTATGTTCTAACAACAATAAAAAAAAAAAAAACTTCAAATTTCCTTATCTTTTTTAAAAACAACACAAAAATGCAAATGTAATAAAACAATCATCTAAGAGTGATTTTTACTAAAGTTCAGAGTTACTCTTTATTATGAATTCTTACCTGTCAGGAATGCCTAGCCTCTTCACACTTCTATAAACAGAAAGTGTATTTGCAACATGTCGATAATTAAACCAGAATCGGGATGTACACACCTAAAGTATTAAAACCAATATGTTATTTTTATGAATCAAAATAAGCCACAAAAGTACAGAATTATTTCTCTTTAGGTAGGATATAGAGATGCCTAAAAAAAGAGTATATCATAATTCAGGCTTAGAAACGCAAAGCACATAAAGAATTGTCAATAAAACCAATCTCTCTAGAGCAGTGGTTCTCAACCTTCCTAGTGCCGCGACCCTTTAATACAGTTCCTCATGTTATGGTGACCCCCAACCATAAAATTATTTTCGTTGCTACTTCATAACTGTAATTTTGCTACTGTTATGAATCGTAATGTAAATATCTGATATGCAGGATGTATTTTCATTGTTTCAAATTGAACATAATTCAAGCATAGTGATTAATCACAAAAACGATATGTAATTATATATGTGTTTTCCGATGGTCTTAGGCGACCCCTGTGAAAGGGTCGTGACCCACAGGTTGAGAACCGCTGCTCTAGAGAGAGGTCTTTTATAACTAGCATTAAATAAAAAGGCCACTCAGCTTAAGAGAAAAAAAAAATCTTTGGTGAATTCAATCAAATAGTGAACCAACTTAGTTACCCTCAATTTCTGTGACTCTAGAAAGTTCCTGTTTCTAAAAGATTCAATTCTTTAAAATCAAAGACAGTGCGCATAATCCCTTCACAGAATTGGGTTATATAATATTCCTTTTACTCTAGATTTCTTCCTAATTTTAGTTGTGAAAATTATAAAATAGATACTAAAACATAACATAACATACAAAAGTTTTATCTGTACATAAGAGAATGTGTTTGCTATAAAGCTGTTAAACTGAACAGAAAACTAGAAATAATGCTAGTTTTACATTTAAAAACTTTACTTGTAGAATGCTTTGCAATTATTTTTATATATTGATATAAAAAATACAAGTTCTAAAGGGACACAAATTGGCATTTTAAAAAAGGATTCCTAAAAATGATATCAAAAGAACTAGAAAAATCTAATGCCGTACCTCAAAAGTCAGGTCTCTTGAGAATCCATTCCAAAAGAGGTAACAGAGATTGGGGTCAGGTAGTAATATACCTACCCATCAAGCACCCTTCTACCTCCTACCACATGCCTCTGCTAATAGTGTAAGTACAATAGTTTTGAGACTAGCATAAATGTTCTTGCCCTGCAAACAGAAAGGAACTACAAGTTCTTTTTATTAAAATAAATGTTCAACTTAGAATCCAATAAGAAAAAAACTAAAATTTTTTACTACATAAAAAAGTAAAACTTCATATATGAAAAATAGCATAAAATCCTAACTGAAATGAAAAACTTGAAACAATCATCACACAATAATCCGATTTTGAAAAATAGGCAAAGGATGAGAGCAAGCATTTCATAACAAGAGTATTAAAAATGGACAATAAAACTCTTAAAGATGCTCAACTTCTATCATAATTTAAAAAACACAAAGTGATAGGTATCCAAAAAGTCTGGCAATTCATAGTACTGGCAAAAGTGCAGGGAAATGAATACTCATGTTCTACTGACTAAACTAAAATAAACATAAACTAAACTAAATCTTCTAAAAGGGTAATATGCAATATACATCAAGTTTGAAAATGTACTTATCTTTTGATTTAGCTCATATCAGTATGCAAAAATATGTATTCAAGGATTTCCACTATAACACTGCCTGTATTAGCAAAAATCAAAACCAAAAAGCTAGAAACAAAATCACTACCCATCAGTAGCAAAGAATCTACAGGTTCCCTAACTTGAGCAGAAATAGTATAATGTATATCTGAACCAATTGGTAATATGATACAATAAATTTTATTTTCAAAATTTTGATTCACACAAAATTTCTCAGACACATATCTAAGTGAATAGCATGGTATACCTTCATAGAACTTACTTACCAAAACAGCCCAGTTGTTTGTGTGGCCACTTCTAAAGAACTGCTCTGCTTGTTCCTATCAGTCAAATAATAGCAAAAAGATTAGAAGAAAGCCACATTTCCCAGAGTAAAGACTGGTAAAGGACAGTCAAGATCCATGGAGTTTTTACAGTTATAATAACAATAAGTCATCATTATGTAAGTTTATAAAGATGCTAGTTTTTGACCTATGAAGGACCAATAGAGTTTTATTTTTCTGTTAGGGGGCATTATTTTAGGGAGGCGCTGTTTGTTTTTATCCCAGTCATCTCTTCCTTATATGCTTCTAGTTTTCCATTCAGTCTTCCAATTGTGAATGACTTATTTCATATCTTGATTTCTAAACATAACAAGTAGTAACCTTCCTGTTGAAATTTCATTCAATATTCATTCGTCCTCTGCGCTGGGTGCTTCCAATTACTTCATTTGAACTTACCAATATATTTGATTGAGCACATTCTCTGGCATGCTGTCATGTATCACTTCACTAATCTGTTAAAGTGAATCTGAATTATATTTGCTGGCATGGAACATTAAAAACTTCAGCATCCAGATACCTAATGAACATGATTTTTATTATATACTAAAAGAATAATGAATATAAACCATAATGACCTCAGAGCTGCTCCCAAGCAGTGTTACTAGACCAGTCAAACTGCCTGGATCCAAATCTGGGTCCTATTACTTATTACTTGTATAAACTTAGGAAAGCTGTTTAACTTCTCTGCACCTCCATTTCCCCATCTATAAAAATGATGTTACCTGGCTCACAGAATATAGGAATGGTGATTGGAACCTAGTAATTGTATAACTTATGTTAGCTGTTTTAATTTTCAACTGGCAAGAAAATTTCAGGGGGAATGAAATTTTTAAAAAATCACTCAAATGTGTGTGTGTGCATACACAGACATACACACATATTTATTTTTAACCATTCTCAACAGCTACCTAGATGCTTTAAAAAAGCAATGTGCGATGGTGCATAAAGCACTGGTTTAGGGATTTGAAGATCTGAGTTTTATAGCCCAGGTCATATCCCTCACCTGCGAGACTGGGGTAAGTCATTCAGCTCTTTAGAGTTGATTTTCCTCAAGCAGAAAATGAGAGCTGAATGTCCTTTCCAGTTCCAAAATTCTTGGATCATTAAGACTTTAGGGGGCATTAGGACTTTAGGGAAAAAGTTGAGATAGCAAAACTCTTTTGTGATTTTTTCAGACAATATAGGCATTGCAAAGTTACTCATTCATTCTACATATGATTAGTGGAGCACCAGTTATATGCCAGATTTACTATGTAATATAAAGTGATATAAAAATCATTGAAGAGCATGCTGCTTTCTCTCAAGAATCCGAGTTCAATACAAAAGACAAGCATGCACATTACACAATGTCATTCATTCATTCATTCATTCACTCATCACTTTGTTGGGTGCCATGTGCCAGTCACTGTCCTGAGTGCTCAGAATACAATGTTGGGCAAAAACAATCAGAGTACTTGCCTCCAAAGAGGTTACTATCCAATTTGCTAGACATATGAAGCAGTTGCCAACCTATAAATTCTATCAAGGTAAGATACACAGTATCATGAAAGAGTATAACAGGGGGAAATGACCTAATTTGGGGGGTATGGTGTGGAGAGGTTTAGGGAAGGTTTCCCTAGAGAAGTGACATTTGGGTTAGGATCCAAAAGATGAAAAGAGGAAAGATAGTTCCAGACAAAGGAAATATGGGCCCTAATGGCAGGTGGGGCTTAAAGGTGTTGAGAAACTGAAAAAAGATTAGCATAACTAAAAGTTTGAAAGAGAGAGAGAACTGGGGGTGTGGGTAGGGGCCAAAGTATGCAGGGCTTTGTTTATGGGGTCATATAGAGATTTTGTCCTTTATCCTTAGAGCAATATTAAGGTGTACACTGGTCACATGATCAGACATGCATTTTTAAAAGTTACTCTAGCTGTAGCTTGGAGAATAGATTGAAGGGAAGAAAGAATGACTTGATGTAGAGACTAGTTAGGGAGCCATTGCACTCCAAGTGAAAAATTATGGAATAATAGATAATACAAAGCATACATGAGTTATAATCGATGAATGCTATACAAGCTTAATGTACAAATTACAACGGCAATATCAAAGGAAAGGGATAGGGAAAGGTTTTACTGCATCTTACTAAAGGGACAAAAGAATCAGGAGGTATAAAACATGGTAATGTGAAAAAGCACAGAAACAATCAAAAGAAAAAAAGAGTAATGGCATCCAAACTGAAGTGTACAAGATAAATCACTAGAGTAAAGGAGGAAAACCGAACTCCTATTCATATTCGTATTACCTCAAAAATATGCTTTATAAATGTTGAATATATAAATTAGCAGTAGTTCATATATATATATAAAGAGAGAGAGAGAGAGAGAGAGAGAGAGAGAGAGAAAGTGCATGCTCAATATCCGTTTAAAGTTTGGAGTCCACTGATCTAAATTCAATGTACTGAGGTGGTGGGCAGAATGGGTTCCAATATGAAAGCTGGAAAAGTAGACAGAGGCCAGAGCATGATGCTAACTTTATTCGGCATGCAGTGGGAAAGATTCAATCAGAAGAATAACCTGATCAGGTTTACATTTTATGAAGACTAACCTCAAAGTGAGGGGAGTTTGGAAGCCTGGGGGAAACGAGGTAAAGTAATTGCAGTCATTGCACTGGTCTCGGCAAGAAATTACCAGGCCTGCATTAAACCAGTGGTAAAAGCAACTTTAGAAGCTCAGAACACAGAACTTAGTTTTGATTAAAAAGTGCGATAAAGAGAGGTGTTTGTTGTTTAAAGCCCCAGGCTCCCCGCCTAGGAGCAACCCCTTGGGAAATGGGGCAGCCAGAAGGCACGGCTGGGACGCAGACCTTCCAATGCCTGCTGACTACACGGGCCCCTGAAGACGGTGCTAGAAGAGATCTAGACTGAAGAACGGGGCGCGGTGTTTCTTATCAGAGCGCGGGGCACAGTGGAAGCTTTACGCGAGGCCAGAACGTCCTGCGAGCCAAAACCCAAACACCGCACCCACCCGACTCCCGGCCGAGCGGCGCGCTGCAGTTTAACAGCAGGAAAGGGCTGCGCTCCGTGCTCGCCTTTCAGCCGCAGGGCGTGCACACCGGGCGCAGAGGATCGGGTCCTCGCCCCCTCCCAGAATTTGATTCTTTTAATTCGTCGGTTTAAAAGGCTGCAACAGGCTGAGAAAGCCCTGCCCCGTGACACCCTTCCACATCCCAGGGAGGCTTCCCTCGGCTTCTGTGTATCGGACATCGGCTGGGCGCTCGCGGCCCCGACCACGCTGTCCTCCCAGGGCCCGGTCGCTCGGAGGGCCTGACTCCTACCTCGATCTGACTAGTGGCCAAGCTGCCGAAGGACAAGAGCAGCAACCCTGCCAGGGCAGCCATAGCCCGGCTAAAATAGGAGGCGGCTGCCATGTTTGCCGGGTTCAGCCTCCGGCACCCGGAGGGGGCGGAGCGAGTGCCGTAAAGCAGCGCGGCGGGCTGGCGTGTTTTTGCGACACCCGCCTCCTCTCCAGGTGGCCGGCTTGTCATCTGTCCTCAGATCTGGAGTTTCCCAGGCTTTCTGGGTGAAGATAGAGGGAATCGAACCTTTATCTTTATTGCATTTTCAATTTGGACATTGTAAAATAAGTATACAGGTTTGAAATACAAGTGTGAAAGGTGAGAAAGACAAACCTGTGATCCCACAAGCTCTCAGAAGCTAATTCCTTTTTTGCGTGGTGCTGCCAATTCTCTGAATATATGAAGCTGGATGTGGTGGGAAGAGCAAGCATGTAAGCACAAAAAGATGATTAATTGGATCTTTTGCAAATAGGAAGATAGGTGGGTGCTGCAACACGTTGAGGCCTATTACTTATTGAAAGAATGAACATGTAGAAATTAGTTACGTTTTTGTTTCTTCAGTAATTCTGGAGCTAAATCATCTAAAAGACAGTCTGAGGACTTAATAAGATCATGTATACTTGTTCAATGATGTTCATTATATGCATTCAATTTTAAATTCTATTTTTCAAATAGCACGACATAAACATGTGTTTATGCTGTCTCAACCTGTAAGAATGTATATAGTTTGAGCCAAATTGATGACAATTGCCGGGAGGCAATGTCTCAGTGGATTGAGAAACTCTCCAGAGAATGGCAGTTTTGCACCTTATTTTTTACATTAGAATCAGAGAAGAACTAAGAGGGTTACATGAAACCCATTGGTGATAGATTAGGGAGGCAGGAGAAAGCAAAGCGGGAACATTTCTGGGACTGGATTAAAGGTAAAACGAATAAACACATACTTCTTTTACATTGGTGGGTATAGGATAGTTAACAATAAACACGATAACAATAATAATAAGGGGTTCTGTGGTCTCCTGCTCTGGTGGGAGTGTGCCCCGAGGGGTCTGGAAAAAGGAAATTACCTTGCTATTCCAATAGTATGTTATCATAGATTCTAAAAGACAATAGACAGGCTCAGTTAAGGTAAAGATTGAACTTTGTCAAGGAAGATACCAGCCTAGGACATAACCAACTGCCATGACTCGCTTTCAGTTAGGCAGTTTTAGTTTCAGACCATCCTGCGTGGTTACTTTAGGTCTCTGAGTTTGTAAGGCTTTCCATGCAGGCCTCCACTGAGCTCCTCAGGTTTAGTATGTGGCCCCTTTTGTGTCCACAGATGCTTCATAATCTTCATCATTTTAACATTGAGTGGTAACATGGAATTCCATCCCTATGGATGCCTTAGCCAAAGTAATTGCCCTTCAAATGAACAATACAAAGTTTCTAAGCTTTACTATAAAAATAATATTGTAAAGAGTATCTTTGTGTGTTGTCTTTTCACATTTGTTCAATTATTTTCTTTGGATAATTTTTCTATAATGGAAATCTTGAGTTAAAAGATATAAAAATTTTAGTGGCTATTAATGTTGCTTCCCAAAGTGTACAAATTTACAGTGCCATCCAAATATACAACCTAACACCAAATTATAACATTTTTCCACTTCTAAATTCCTTGGTACAAAGTTACCTCAAGGTTGTTATACTTCTGAATCTTTACTATCAAGTTTTATTGTCTTTCCTTGTGTCCATAAACTATCTGTATATTCTCTGATGTAAATTTTCTGTGTATAGCTTTGTTTTACATATGAATTTGAATGAGATCTTCATTAAAAATTTGAGATTAATCCTTGCCATATTTTATGCGATTGCCAGAAATAATAAGTTCTGTGAGAAAAGGAAAAATAGAACAGGGTAAAAGAGTTAGGAATGCTGGGATGGGGGACAGATTACAGTATTAAAGAGGATGGCTAATATTAACTCAGATGGCCTCACTAAAGAGGTGAGATTTGAGCAAAGACGTGGCGTATATTGTAAAACATGAGAACACAGAAGACAAATAAAATATGAAAAGTGAAAAGGCATTACTGATAAAGGAATAGCAATTTTGATGGCAGCAGATTAAATGAAGCAAGAGCTAGAATTTATTGAGCACCTTCTATAAATCAGATGCTTTGTTATGTGAATTACATGCATTATTGCTCATCTTTACAGTAACTCAAGAAGGTAGCTCTGTTTATCTCCAACTTACAAATGACCAAATAGAAGCTCACAGAAATTAAATGACTTCCCAAGACCACACAGCTAGCAAGCTGAAGACTCGGGCATCAAAGTTTGATCAGCCTGCCACCAAAATCTAGTGTCTACTTACACGACTCCAAATAAAGCCATTATCAAGATCACTGGAAATCTAATACCAATTCCAGTTAACACTTTTTTTGTTATTTTTCTTGACCTTACTGCATTCATTCATCCAACTTTTACTGTTAAGGGCCAGGTAGTAAATACAGGGTGTTGCCAAAAAATGTATACACACTTTAACAGCTGATAGCTCAATTTTTAAAATAAAATGTATTTTAATAAACACTGCCTTAATGCTCATTAAAAGTGT